GATTTTACTTGGTGTTACTCTATTTTCAATCAAAAGTTTCATGTTTTCTGGGAATTCCCCATGACTTCTTGAGATTTTTTTATTGACTACCAGAGCACTGTATTCTGGTAATGGATAAAAATTCATAATCCACTGTAATTTTTTTCCAGTGTGGAAAAGGGATGGTGTAAGAACTTTGATTCATACTCATATATCTTTCTATAACAGCTTAGATGGAAAGATATTTTAAAACTCAATTGCATCTTGCATTCAATAAATTGGATTAAGCTTTTCTTACTTGATATGATTGCATTTGATTAATTTAAACATTTCACTAAAACACTGAAGCTTTTTTTCTTGAAACCTGTTTGGTTTTGAGATCAGCTGTCAAAATGAGAAAGATGTGCCAGTTGTTTAAACTGGGATATTGTTTGTGACTGAATGGGCTTTCAGGTAGGATTAATTGAAAATTGGATCATGCCTCCGAGAAAGTGATCCAGAAAGTCCTCTTCCAGAATTCTTGAAACCAAGAAGCACTTCAAAGCAAATAGATACCCCTTAAAAATAATGTTCTGGGTTACAGACACTGGAAACTTAATGGATGTTGATTAAAAAAATATCAAAAAAAACAAAAAAACACCCTATATTTTCAAGAGGGAAAATGAAAAATAAAGGAAAAATGATCTCGTCTTTAAAAGCTAATTCTACAGTAAGGCAGAAAGATTTAAGAGTAGACAATAATAAGGTAAGCACAGGTTATCTCAAGGAAGATTATCCATGTGAGGTATTAGGAAACTTAAAGTGCTAAATTCAGTCTCATTTAATTTGTGTATTACTGGAATTTTTAATGATAAAAGTCTATATGGACCAGACTGACTGGAAACTGACATTTTCTTTCACTGAATTGAATTAGGTGATTCATCCAAATGCATCAGCAGTAAATGTGCCTCTGCAATTCTTCAAGCTTCCAAAGCTTGATGTTACCTTTATGCTATGTAGCAATCCATCCAGACTAAGTGGTAGTTACAGGACAGCCCCTCAAAGTTCACTGCCCTTCAGAGATGTTCCTCTAAATGAACTTGTTTGGAGAAAGAGATCACTAAGTAAAGGAGATCTTGAAGACCTCAGAATGTTTAAAGGAAAGATGAAAAGAACTCTGAAGCACTACTTGTTTTCCCCTGCTTCCATGGCAGAACTCATTCGATTGGCATTGGCCCTCACACGAATGTGAGTGATTATATTCTGCCACTATCTTAGGAAACTGATAGCTCTGAGGGCATATTAAATACTAGGAAATACTTTTTAAAGGGTAGGAAGTAGATATCCACCAGAGGCCACACAGCCATTTCCACTTTGCTGTTTCATGCACATTAATCCACCTCCTTCCAGTCAGATGAGAGACTCTTCAGGATCAGGTATTTATATAGTAGTATATCACACATTCATGTGTATCAGAACTCTGTCCCCCTTTCAGAAATCAAAATTAGAAAATGTGCCTATTCTTTCAGCACTGACAGTCAATGTCAAAAGCAAACAGATTTTTTAGGGAGGAGGTAAGGGAAAAATCTGTCTTTAACAAAAAAGTTTAAGTCAGTCATATGTTATTATCTCAAGCAGAATGATCTTGAGCCAATTTAATGAAGGTAAGTGACTTTGAAAGGATTAATTTATGCTCTTGAGTCTCCTCAGATGTAGAGCTAATAGAAAGCTGTCTGGGTACTTGAGTTTTCACACATCTTGCAGTTCAACTGGAGATTCAAAAGCTAAATCAAACACTCTGGGACACCTGGGAGGACTCAGAATGCATACAGCAGTGAAGTGATTGTTCTGATCAGGAGGGTATTATTCCCATCTATAACAATATTGATAGAGATCCTCAGCTACTCTTTGTTAATGTTATTCTTCTAACAATTAGCCAAACAGTTCACTACAAATTAATTATACTAGTTAAATGCTACCAATTTTACCCTTTCAGAATCCAACCATTTCACAAGAAATGGAGGATTATTTACAGTATTTATGGTGCTTTATCACTGCAGTATCAGAGCTCCTGACAGTTTTTGAGAATATTGATCCTCACATCACATCATTTGATGTAGAATGTAATGAGGAGGAGGAAAGATTAAGTTTATCTGGTCTCTGCTCCAGGTTCCACATGTGTATAGTAACAAATTCTCTGATAAAAAGGAATTTAGTAAGAGGGAAAAATAATAGACCTCAGGATTTCCTGTGGAGTGCCTTCAACTCTGGCTCAAGATGTTGCTTATTCAACAAGATTTTCAAGTTTTATTCAGGCTGCCTTTGATCCTGTAAATTTACTTAAGCATGCCTTTAGACTGCCAGTTGGAGCCTGGAATGTTCTGAGGAAAAAGTGACTGATTGGCACACCACGGAGTGGCAGCTGCTCCTTTAGAAGCAGGGCAATCCCATGCCTCCAGCCCTTGTGCTGAGTTTAATGAGGGAGCTCAGGCAGCTGTACAAGATTTCAGCCAAGGTGGCAAACACACTCCTGTAGACTACCCAAGCTCTTGCACCTTATCTGTGAGTTGCAGTTTCAGAGAAGAGCCCCCTCACTGTCCTAGGAGCATGTGAGTTGTTAGCACAGTTGTGAAGAGAGCTAATGGTGATCACCAGCTCTTTGGAGAAAAAGAATTGGCCTCTTCATCTATTAACTGCTGTGAGTTTCAACAACTGAATTTCAACAAAAATATTCAGAATTTTCATTGAACCCAGAAAAATGTCAAAGTCCCACATACTCCTTTAAGTAGGTCTCCATGACAGAATTTAGGAAATTTCTAGCATCTCTGTCTGTAATTTCCATGTGCTTTAGTCCTTCACTATCAAAGCCATTGGAAGTATTTTCCTTCTTATTTTACTTTGTAATGATGATAGATTTCTGTAAAGCAGATGGGCTACATGACCCAGACTATAGTTCGTGAGGGATCTGAAATACATATCTCAATCATACCCTAATAGTTCAGTGATGAACTTTGCTGATAAATGGCAAATATAAAGTCAACATTGATGTCAAGATTTGGTACCTAAGTAGTTCTCTAAACACATAGATTCTGATAAAATACTCTTTGCTGTTAGTTTCCATGGTTTATTTTTTCAAAGAATTTAACTGGTTAATGCCATCTGTATCTCACATAAAACGCTATGGTCTTTCTAAATATTAGATTAGAAGTGTAATATGATATGCCTCAAGTATATAGGTAATACCTTAAAGTATTATTAATCCCAGTACTTTAGAAACACAAAATTTCTAGAGCCTCACAGCCTTGGCAGAACTGCAATTGGAGGCAAGGATTGCTCGGAGTTTCTCTTCTTGGCCCTGAGATTGCCAGAGCGGCCAAACTGACCTAGAGTATAAACCCCTATAAGGCTGTCCTAATTCCTAATTTACAGTGTTATTGGTCCTTAAGCAAGTAAACACCCAGCAGGGGCTTAAAAGCACATTTAAATTCAGGACTAAGTACACCTAAATTTGGGAAAACAACTAGACAGAGAGGTTTTTAAAATCAATCCCTTGTTGCCAGAAGTCTCCTTTTAGGACCAACTTACATTTCTCTGGTAGTGCAGTGTAGCTTTATTGGACAAGGAAGAATAAGACATCAAATGCAACTAAAAAATTGTAGGACATAAATCCATATAGCAAGTGTGTGACTGAATCTTTTCTCTTACTTCTTTAATATGCTCAAGCCTGAAAATGTAGATAAAAAACACTTCTTGATATGAGCAAACTTTTCTGGAAGAGGTTTAGTGGTACACAATTTACCAGATTGGAGACAGAAATATTGCACTGAAACTTTATACTTTGGTTACAGATAGCTCCATATATTATTGTTTATTAGCCTATTTTTTCCTTCCAATCTGCAGAAGAAGAGGGATTTCTGTTTCCTGGTAACCAGTTGAGGGGTATAAAAGCATTAATTTCATTCTACTTCCTTTGAAGAGTTTGATCTAAATGCAGGGTTGGAGCAGTTTGCTATATTGTTTCTGACATCCTTGTGCTTTCACACTCCTTTGCATAATGCTCTTTGTGTCTTCATCACTTCAGTCAGCCATAACTATTAAGCTTTCTGAAAATGATCTTCCTGGCTGAAATCACAGTAAAAAATACTTCAATGCATAAGTGGCAGTTGCTGTTTCCAAGCCATGTTTGTACCTGAACCTGCTGCATACTCTTTGAATGAACATAAAGTGAACTTGTGGTGGGGCAGAAGCAATGAAAGGTGAGCTTTGTTAATGAGTGATGCCTCACTGACTCTGCCTTGATTAATGTCAAAGACTGCTGATCAAAAAACACCCATGTTCTCTCACTGACTCATTTCTAAGTATGAATTAGAAAAATCTCATGAGAATGGTATCAATAATGGTGTGAAATTCTGAGTAACAGAGAGGGTCAGTAACAGAGCCTCTGAGACCTCTGAGTCTCAAAAATGTGTCTTGAGTGAGAATTAAATTGAGGCTATAGCTCAGAAATCCCTCTGATATAAAATTTGTTGTACATATGTATTTTCTTTCACTTATTTGTGATTTTCCTTCAGAATACAACAGACAAGTCCTACAAAGATAGATCATTATTCCAAATCCATCAGAATTTTTTCCAGGACATCAGATTCTTCCCACAACATCTTTCTTACTCTCTTTTATTTTGTCAACCAGAAAAACATGTAATGAAAAGTTCTTTGTGAAGATACAATTAAGTGTTGAGGATATATTGTAACAGAAAATTTTATTTTTCTTCTCTGTATATATTGTTTTCTCCCAGTGTTAATTTCATTTCAGGTTCTTTTCTCTGGGCATTTGTGGAGGATACCTGCTAAACCTTCATAAGACTTATAAAAGTGCTATTTCCATTGAATCCCTGAATTTGTTTCAAAATGCAGGTGCTATTCCTATGGAGCAAAGGAAAGGATTTATTTTCTCTTTCAACACTTAACTCTTCTGGTGAGAAGACAAACGGAAATGAATCTTCCTCAACTCACTAATATATCTGTAAGGAGCCATTCAAATATGCTTCCCTTTTCCTGTGTTTGACTGATTGACAGCTTATGGGCAGAACCATCAATTAATTTGAGCAGCTGAGAAGGAGCAAGAAAAATATCACCAAGTGGAAGTCAGAGCACTGACTCCTGATGCCCTTCAGCTGTGCTGCTAAGGTGAGAAAGAAAGATGCCCCAGTGGCCTGAGAAATATGGAATAAATGAAAGGCATCTCTCCTTTGTTATTGCTGCCTTAATCCTGGGAAAAGAGGACATAAAATGTTGAGAAGACACACAGTTTTTCTGTAGAGGTCAAACAAGGCAGAAAATATCATGTATAAAAAACAGATTCTTGGAAAAAAATAGCTCAGAAGGCAGCAAGTGTCAGTCAAAGTAGGGAGTTAGGGAAGAAATGCCGTGCACTGTGAACGTTTTTAAACGCAAGACACAGTAAACACTGTAAAAAATGTTTTTAAAAAGAGGGTATCAAAATTTTCAACAGAGTTTTATCAAATTTCTCCATGTACTCTTATGGTTTTTTGTCTAGGATCTTACTTTCTCTTCCTACTGTTCCTATATCTGCTGCACTCTCATAAGATATTCTGGTCATTTAGTCACTTTGGCTTTTCCTAGTTAGACTTTAGACTACTGTTTGCAAATTCTGCATTTACTATGTATCTAACAAAATTGTCTTGACCTCAAATGGGTATTGCAGAGTCTCCTTTGCTTGTTTCAAAGGAGAGAGAAAATGTGTGAGAAGCAGATGCAGGATAGATAAGTTCTGTTTCAACCATTTCCATTTACCAAGGTACAACTTTTGCAGTTGGAACTCAAATGCAAATTTGTTCAGCTAACATGAAGTTGCTAAGAGCAAAAGCTTTTCTCACTAGTGTCTTCTGGGGCACTTCTCATTTCCTGTTTCCAAAACAACCAGATGCTTTTCATACCCAGCTCTCCTAACAAAAATTGCTAACTCATAGTTCAAAAACTCTGAGCCAAATGTGTCTCTAGTGTGACTCCATAGCCTTATATCTCTGTTCTCAAAACCTCTTCATGACACATTCAGGCTCCTCTTTGTTCCACATTAGCTGGCATTCTTTGGGAACTATTGCACACAGGGATATTTCCTGCTGGAAAGCTCATGCCAGCTTTCTGAAGTACTTGGCAGTAGTAGAGGATCATTTGTAAAATTAGTAGCCCACTTTTATCAGTTCACTTACAGCATTATTTGGTTAAGTGGCCCATTCTCTGAGAAAATCAAGCAGAGTACAATTCTGCCCTTTGTTACAGCAATTGAGCAGTGCCAAAGCTTTGCTATGGAGCATAAATACAATGCTATGAAATATAAGTAATGGAAATGCCATGGAAAATTTAAGACAATGTATTTTTTTTTTCTCCTCAGACATACTGTTCTGTTTAATTTATCTATGCAGCACAATGGTGACTGATTTCATCCTCTAGAGAAATCTGTCTAATTTCATTTGTCTCAGAACATTCAGGAACAGAATTCAATCTTGCAGACTTTAGAGATCTAACCTTCTTTCATTGTAGGAGCAATTGTGTACCTATTGAATAAAATAAGAGAGAAAAGATTTCCCTCTTTTTAACTATTGCTTTCAAAATAACTTCTATCCAGGCACCCATTACTAAGTCTTAACAGAAAAATTTCAATTTCACTTAACATTTCAGCTCTGTACTCATAATGAATAGTGTTATGCCTTTGCAATTGTTACTTTATGCGGTATTTGTACTAAAAGTATCATAAGTATCAAATTTAGCTTTATATCCTATTTGAGCAGGATTGAAAATTCAGGTTCCATTTTCCTCCTTCAAGATCTTCCTTATGTGAATATATAATGTGTGGTGAAAAAAAAGCAGTAAAATATGTGAACAGGACATTTAAACAAATATACATTTTAATAAGGTTTGCCAGGATATTATGATCGAAACTATCATTGATAGTCCCAATGACATCACAGAGTTATTTTAATGATTCAAACATAGTTATCTTAATGCTTAACCAAGAGCCTTAGACCACATTTTGTCTGAGAAGGGGGGAAATGCGGCTAAGCTGGAGGCATCATTCCTGATCCCGACATCTGTAGGCAGAATACACACAAAGTTGATGGCAGGATCAAATGTAGCTACTATTTCTAGTAATCCTTTTGCAGTATTTTCCTTTGGGTGCAGCCTTGCAGCCCTGTGGGGTATGCAAGGGGAGAAAAAGGCAGTGGCAGGAATATGGCTGTTACTGTGCTTCACTTCCAAAATCTCCTTGGAGTGCTGGTGGGTCTTTCCCCTATACGTCTTAAGGAACTTTAATCAATTGTTTCCTCTTCCACATATAAGGCAGAAGAAGAGAGCTTTGTGGATTTTCTTAGATTCTGTGTTACTTTTGGAGAAAGGGAGTGAAATATGGTAGAATTATCAAGTAGATAGTCAATACAGGAACATCAAAGAACTTTTAGACTTTGACAGCCGGTCCAGAGAAACTTTCCTAAGTACTTTCTCAGGACTCCAAATTTACTTTCAAAGTAGAAACAACAAAACTCATATAAATAGATGTTTTTAAATATCTGAAATTAAATGATTCAACATAGGCATTCCCATGCCCTTTCTGAATATATTAAAATATGTAATGAATGAAATGTAAGAATCTGATGAAATCTGAGTGCTGCAAAGGGCCATCATGAGCTTTCCACTATTTCAATTAATTCACTGAGATTTCTGGTGTAATCCACCTGACCAAAGACTGTGGAAGCTGATCCATAGGAACTTTCCATTTAGTAACAACTTTTCCCACAGTGTGAGGGATATAGATAGAAAGACAAAGAAAACTGGGATTCTGAAAAATTATAAATTCTTTAAGGATTCCATCTTACTATCCTGGTGCAGCAGAAATGATTGTCTGCAATGGAATATTCTATCGTAAAACTTGCAGAGCTGGGTGTTCAGCTAACCTGCTCACATTGGAGAAATTCAGTGCAAGGCACATTAAAAAAAGAGTACTGAAAGTCATGCTGGGTGTTTTCTGCAAATGTCCCCGAATTACTCAAACAACTATAAGATGGTGTCTGCTTACACACATTTCCTACTGTGCAAATCTGTTCACCTCATGTTAATTTCCTTCCACTGTGAATGAGCAAAGGCAACCATTAGCATCAAGATTATGGGAAAAGATTTTCATAAACAAGTAAGCTAGCTCCAGCAGGAGTGCCCTAGTTCAGTAAACCCACAAAAAAATTCTGAAATACCTCATGAGAGATAGAATTATTTTTTTAAAAACAATTCATAATTTTATTAACCGTGAATGTAGATTATTATATTGGATATTGGCAAGAAGTTTAATTTGCCATCCCTCGGTAGAATGTAACATCCAGGACATGGATTTTTTTCCATTTTTATTAATACTCATTTCTTCATTAATTGATTCATGAGTGCTATATTGGGTTTTGGTTTTTTTCTTCACCCATGGAGAAACTAGAAGGTTCCCAAAACTAGCTGCATGCAAAAAAAGAAGGAAGTCATAAGTATTCAAGTATATTCCATTTGACAAATTATATCATTAACAACAAAAGAAGAGTCATTCAAATCCACTTCAAGATTATGATTCTTGCTTTCTTGCTATTGGTTGTCTTGTAAAGTGGCTTGTATTAAGCACAACAGTTTTAGGCTTTGTATGCACAATTCTTGATTAATTATGACTATTAACCTAAAACAATATTTTAAAGTATTTCCATAATAATTTTATTTATAAATACTTAATATTTCACTTTTCAGCTGTATGGTAACACAATAACTATTGTTTTCAGAACCAGGACATCAACTATTCAGTTTGAATTTAGAACATTTGCATTTAGTTATTTTACATTTCCTTCAGCCTACACAGCATTTAAAAAAATGCTGATCTCCATCAGTAAAGTTTCAAAAGAGGGAACCACGATTGCCATTAACAATTTCCTCTCTTGGAGAAGCTGCTTGGGACACAGACCCAATTAATTCTTACAATATTTCCCATGATAGATTTTACTTTTCAAACCAATCCCTTTCAGACCCTTTTCATCTACGTCTTTTATGATACTAAACTGTTCTGTGGATTCATTCTGCCTGAGTCAATTATAGGAAAGTGGGTGTTTTTATTATCTGTTATTTTCTGCTATCTCTATCTCATTAGTGTTGCATGTTACTAAGCAAGTCTAAGTACAGACTTAGGTGTGGGTTAGCAATGAAAAACTAAACTAAACTAAACTAATAATTCCCTGTGGTTTGTTCATTCTCTAAGTGACAAGTGCTGATAAAGAACCACCCAGAAACTCAATTCAAAAGAGGAGGAGGTCTGTCTGAGTGAGGAAACTCAGGAAAGGCATTCTGCCTCAGTCCTGCAGCAGCTGAGAGATTGTGAGGAGTATATGACAAATATGTCTGCTTATTTATATCAGTGGGACTTTGATAGGACATTGTTTCCCTTGGAAAAAATTGATTTTTCACAGCAGTAGTGAATAGAATGTCATAATGCTAAGTTTCATAAAATGACTAAAGCACTGACACCAGCCATTTCAAGAAATGCCTGACACTTTTAGGCATTTCATATAATGACTCTGTGGAACAGTTAAATAGTGTAATAGAATGCCTATAATTCCAGGAACGACTTTCAGTCATATCATGAAATGAATGATTTCTCAAGATGACTGCGAGGTATTTATAAAATCTTCACTGTGAGCTATGAAACAGGTGCTGTAAGCTGGGAGTTTGCCAGTGTGTTCCAGGCCAAAGACAGATTGTTTTTGTGAAGTGCTATCATAGATTTGACGAATAGTCTGAATTAAAATGTCCCTTTTGTCATTTTGCCTGATGCACCTTTTGTAGAAGAACAAATTTCAAATAGTAAGAGCAACAACATTCTTACTCTCCAGGAAGCTGGCTGAAATGTTTCTGGGAAAATGCATTTTTGCTGAAATATAATTTTTTAATGAATTTAAATCTTTCAGGAAGCTGCATATCTTGCCAGAAGATTGCTGAGGTTCAAAGTCTGCAAGTCACCTTCTGAAGTGTGTCTGTGTGCGTGCACGCATGTGATGGGAGCAAAAGGTAAGAACTGCTGGCCTGACCTTTCTCAGCAGAAATGAATGGCATGTGATATACTCACTTTTTAAATACTATTTGTCAAGTCCTATCTTCATTCCCACGTGAAAATCAAGTATGTTTAGCACCCTAGGGCTATCAGAGAACAGAATACATATCTTCCTCTCCTTTTACACCACTTACTCAAAAAAGCTAAAATCCTATCTCAGATCCTAACAACTCCTGCAAATTGCTACAGTAGGATTGATGCCAACGCACCTGATTGAAATTGATCTGGTTGGTTTGTCAGGAGGTGGTGCACTTTTATGACACTATTTTTTTAGAGATGTGACTTAGAATGTTTTCAGTCACTTTAAAATGTTCACATGTGGTATATACTGTTACTCTGCAAAGATCATAACATCAAGTGTTTTAATCCATTTCGACTGACATTCAAAAGTTTCTGACCTGCACGTGTCCAAATAGGCAAAACACTAAGACCTTGAATATAAATAACTGCAACAACACTATTCTCTTACTCTACAGTAATTGCATTGACTTCAGTGGAATTAGACCAGCATAAACATGGAGTAACAGATAGGAAAAATAGCCCCCTGTGTTTTATTATCATTTTGAAAACCTAGTTTCGATCTTCCTTTTAAATAAATTTTCTGTCACAACATAGAGAGAAAGGGAGATCCATACTCTGAATACAAAGTTTTGTAATCAGCAGCAGGGCTAGAAATAAACTAGTACGTTAAAAATATTGGTGGATTACAATGTGGAAAGTGCTTTTCCAGTTCCATGGAAACAAGTGAGAAGCAAATTCACCAGTCTTTTCATGAAAGAAATTAGCAATTATAAGATAAAAAACTACTGGGGACTTGCAAGAATTTTAGGTGATACCTCTGATGGATAATGTTTTAATTTACTTCTGGACAAATTTAATAATATCATTTTACTTTTAAACATTGGTTACAATAGAAAAGAAAACATTTCAGAACTTGATAGATAATCTTGCCTAGGTAGATATGCACGATACATTGGCTTTGTGCTCATTTGGAAGCACAAAAATATTTATTGAAAAGCTCCTATGACAGCAATTAATGAATACCTGAAATGAAAAATGACAATGCAAAAGCACACAATGCTATTGGATCACATCTAGAATAAAAAGACTGACTTATTTACAACACTGTCATAGCCCAACAGCAATGTAGTCTTATTGAGAAATTCCATGGTTTTTGTAAAGCTATACTAAATAACATTAGTTTTATAATATACTACTGTCTTTCAAATATAAAACTTCTTGAACAAAAAGTTTTTACTCCATATGTGGATGTTCTCAATAAGTTAATTTTACAGATTTGCTGATACTTCACTGACTTAGAGTTCTCAACTGTTAGTGTGACAATATCATGACTAATGTTTTTATTCTTGGTAAAGTAAAATCGATATGCACACATATACAGCCTCATTCACATTTAAAATATCATGTCTTCCGTTCAGAATGTTGCCAGATCTCTCCATATCTTACTCTTATTATATTAAGAACTACGTTTGGTATAATCCTGCTCTTTTTGAAAGACAAAGGGAAAGAAAAATTAAACCAGCATAACTCAGATATTAAAAAAAAAATTAATTGCATATTAAAATGAACATTTATGTATTTTTTTTCTTTTATCTACAGGGAGCTTTTATCAAAAAACTCTTTATTCAAAAAATCAGATTCTTTTGGATATTAAAGATGACATCACCACCCTTTGTGTGGGTAATTAGAGACTTTGCCCTTTGAATTACCTATTTCTTTTACCATCAACTGATAGAACTTTAATTTAGAAGATTTAATAATAAATTAGGGCAAATGAATCCCATCCTTAGATACCTAAATGTCATCATATGCACCAAAATCTACTTCTAGATACTCTGTGCTTAACACTTCCTGCATATTAAATTTGTTGTTAGATTGTTTGGTCTTTTCTTTTCCTTGAAGCACGTAATCCAAACCATGGTAATCCAAATTTTGTCAACAGACTTCCTATTAATCTTCAGAATTCTGGTGTGCTGCCTATTGCCTTCCACTTACATGACCTGATCACTGCTACTGCCTGAAAGACATTTCTTCCTCTCAGCAACCTTTTGATAACAGCGCTGAGATAGGTCTGCAGTCTATCACTGACACATTATTACTCTTTGGTAGTCTGGAAAATGCACTTGGGACTAAAAACGTGTCACTGTTATCCTGATCTAGAGATAAAAAACAAAATAATGCCTCTTTCGTCATTATAATGTCAACATATTAAACTTCTTTTATACTAATTTAATTTGACTAATTGTTTTTCCAGTCTTATAACTAAGCACTGTCATGATTCTTCTTTTATGGAAATGCTACATTTTTTGAGAAAGTGTCACATGGTGACATCATCATACTATGAGCAAAGGAACAAATAGTACCCCAGATGTTTAGATAAATGTGTGATTGAGACTGGCCATAAAAGTCATTAAGAACTTTGGGGTGACAGCAGCTTTAGATTTAAATTTTAGAAAACTAGAATTCCACACACAGCTAATATTCTAAGATCACAATTATTTCCCAACTTCACCTTGTTATGACCCATGACTAGGGGCAAAAATGTTCACTATGAATTCTCATCAGGCTGAGCAGACACTGCACCCTGTGCAGGGATCTCTCATGCTGTTTATGCCAAGGAAAAGCAAGTGAAGAAAACAAAGAATATCAGCAGCATCAGCAGAGATCAGCAAATTAGATCTCAATTTGGTCCTGCTGCATGGATGATTTGGAGCTGGGGTGGTGAGGCAGAGAAAGCAAAATAGAAAGAGATGAAAGAGCAAGAGAAAAAGAGACAGAGAGACAGAGGAAAGAGGAAAAAAAGGGGGAGAAGGAGAACCAAATAAAAATAGAGAGAAAAGAGAGCAGGTGCACTTTTGATGTAAATTAGACTTTTCAGGAACTTGTTCACACAAGCACAGAGAGGCCTTCTTTGGGAGGTGAGTTGTCAGTGAGGGGGGACAACACGGAGCATGAGGCTCCAGGTAGAGCAGGATGTTGGCTCAGAACACCTCTGCCCCTCTCGGGACCCTCTCCTCTGACCACTGTCCCTGCAACAATACTCACAATGTTTGAGACAAAGCATGCATGGGTCTGGTACTCCACACAATTATGCCAGCCCAGTTTCTTTGTCACTTTTATCCTACACATCTTGTACACTATTTTGCCGTGGCTGTGTAGAAATGCCTGCTTTTAACCATTCTCCTGTGGGTTCTGAAAATCTCTCTTTAGAATCTGGCCCCACCTGCTATCACGTGGCCCCATTCTGCTTAATAATTTGGCTTCTGGATCTCTAAATTAATCTAGGGCTCAGTCTAGCATCAGTGCTTTTGCTGCTTGAAAGATTTCAATAGAGAGAAGTCTGATAATTTTAGAAGCCAAATGATATGTATGTTACATTAGCTGCAATTTCTAAGATGTTCACAGAGGGGCTAATATTTTATCTACCTGTTTATATTCTTGAAACCATGAAAAATTCTGAGCCTTAGCACAGAGCTTCTCTGTTTAAGTACATTATACCTGATGTAGCATTTTTTATTCCTTGCTATTTGGAAGATTATCATCCTTCACTGTCAGGCTAAAATAGTTGGAATAAAGAAATGGGATAGTTTTCAATCACAAACTAGGATATGGACATTAGGACCCAATTTGTTTTATTTAAGAGGCCTAAGTGCACTTTACTATTTACTCAGCCTATAAATATGAAACTGTTGTCTTTCTTGACACAACACAATAACTGCTTTAGTTAACTTACAGTCTCCAGAAGAAAAAGTGGTCTATATTTGGTTACATTACTTGACTTCATAGAAAATTTTTCTTCATTTCTACTGACTTGACAACCACATAGCACCTACATCCAGTGGTATGAACTACAATGATTTAATAGACCTGAAAGTTTTAACAGAATATTACTTTTTTTACTACTCTGGTTTAGGGAAGGACTCATGATGAGTCCACTTTTCACTCTGTAGGAAAGTAAAAATGCTGCATGAAACATATTTAAGTAAGATAAATGGAAAAGAAACAAGCTACACAAAACAGATCAGTGTTCTGAATCTCTAACTTATACTTTTCAATTCATTTAGAAGACCAGACTTTATCTTCCATATTGACTAGGCGCTATGACCTGAAACAACTTCTATCTGTAGATTTCAGTTTCTAACATGATACAAGAAAAATTCAGAATAATTTTCCATAGTTTTCATCCTCTTTCAGAGGAACAGAATTTTTTCTTCCTCTTTAGCATGACATTTTCTATTTCTAGAAGAATATTTTTTCTTGCTTCCATTCCCAGAAGATTACACAAATATGTAAAGAAAGTAAAATTTCCACTCTCTCTTTGCTGTCACACCTTGGAAATATTTTCTAGAGAGGACTGTGGCTATGACTGGAGAAAGAGTGATATTTCTTTCAAAATGTGGGCTTACTGCTGATGGAAATATGAATTTTAATTAAGAAATGGGGTACTTATTTGCTCTTTCACCCTGTGTCATGACACACCTTTGACAGGTTTGTTGCACTGATTTCCTTTTCTGAATAGGTTGTGATCAGTAGGCGGTTTTCTTTTCTGGTCTAGACATATTTGCTATAATTGAATCCCTCATAGACTGAGGATAATCTGTCACTGCTTTAAACCTCAAACATCTTAGCAAATAAAATTAATATAAAGCACACCTAACAAATTGCCTGTTCCCAGTTCTCTAAAGAATTTAGCAATATTCTGTTTGCTATAGAATGTAAAAAGCTCAGAGCACCTAAGAATAATTATCTAAATTTCTACATCAACATTTTATTTATTCTGAAGAAAGCAGTCTAGTTGTACAGACCTTTTCCAAAATGCCATTCTAGTGTTAGCCTTGTATTACATAAAATTCTGGTGTTCAGCAAGTATATAGTGTAATGGCACAGAAGTTGCAACTCCACAAGTAGACAATAGTCAATCCATCCTCTCTGAAAC